AGGGAAACCTCTTGATGAGCTGGTACATAGTCTTTCCCTCCCAATGAGCTGGTACATAGTCCAGCTTATTAGGAGGGTTTCCTCCCAATGGCACATAGTCCAGCTCATTGAGAGAGCTTCCTCCCAATGAGCTGGTACACCACGGGCTCTAGTGGACAAGTGCTTGGCGGAAGCAGTTCCGTCAGCTTGACCCATGCTGCCCCAACCAATAATTTGGAGTGCTTCATAGCGGGGGGAGTAATCCCCCGCGGTCGGCTTGCCAGAGGTTGCAAGGCAAGCTTGCGGCGGCTTGACAGGATTATGTCATCTTCACAGTTGCTGCACGGCAGCTGACTGCAGTACAAAAAAAACTTATGTATCTTTGGGCTTGAACTCCCTACCTGTACTCACATGATCTTCAGCTCACTGCATGATAATGTGACAGGAGGGCCTATCTAACTATGGCAATCATGATGTTATGCTGGGCAGGCTTGGTTTTGCTTATAGATAGATATAAACTTTCAAATTACCTACAAGATTTTTTTGTCTTGAAGTTTTTTTCTCCAATTTTTTTTTTCTTGAGGCGGCCACAACTTTTTGGACATGAAAAGGATGTAGAAAAAAGCTTGAAAACGTTGGAATTGCAACATTCCTGCCCAAACTTGACGTCGGCCAGACCAATCCGGCGGGAGTGCGTAAAAGAGGTTAAGGCTGACCGGTGCTTGACCGCGGGGTCAAGCCGACGGAGTGCCTTTTCCCAAACTCAACCCGTGGTGTACATATTCCAGCTTATTGGAAGGGTTTCCTCCTGATGAGCTGGTACATAGCCCAGCTCATCAGAAGGGTTTCCTCCCAATGAGCTGGTACATAGTCCAGCTCATCGGAAGGGTTTCCTCCCAATGAGCTGGTACACAATCCAGCTCATCGGGTGGGTCTCCTCCTGACGAGCTAGATTTAAAGCCATCTTGTTGGGAGAAAACCCTCCCAACAAGAACCTCCACCAATTCTTGGTGGGTGGGAACAGGCAGTACCTGTAGCGGTACCCGGGTACCGCCCCATTTTTGCCAAAAAACTGGCACCTGGCACCGCCTGGCGGGTGCACGGCGGTACCCCCCAGGGTGCGCGGCGGTACCCCCCAAGCGGTACTAGGTACCTAGCAAAGGGTACCGACAAATGATCTCTACCTCAGACAGAGCAGATATAGCCCTTCAGCTTGGACAAGTTTACTATCAGGTGAGAGTAAAATCAAATAGACCATTTCAAAGCAAGCTAAGTGATTCCTAACTCAAAACAAGTCCCACCCTTCTGCAGGTGTCAGACACCGAGACACTAGCCCAGGTGTCTACAATAGAATGTAACCCACTTGGGTTACATAACAATTATTATTATATGTAATCTTTAAGTTAATAATTATAAAATAGTGTTATCCCCTTTTACATGTATTTTTTATGTTAACAATTATTCTGTAAATTAATGAAGATTCACCTCTTTATTAATTTACCTCTTTCATGAAAATTATAATCAAGTTGAAAAGGATAATTATCTCCTGGGTGTATCCAAGAGATGATTA